AACCTCTTTGATTTTGACAGGCAATTTCACAGAGCCCAGCACCAGAATGCAGAGTCAGGCACACACCAAGACACAAGAAACACCTTCTCCAGACTCTTGAGGCTCACACACAGGCTGCTACCCGATCATCCGAGTCAAAGCAGGTCTATCTGTGGTCAGTTTGACCACAACTCAATAATACTGTCTGCACATCCAATATACATGCCCCTCTGGACAGTTTTACATTCATTATCTAACAGTTGGCACCCGCACTTTGGAAAACACCGTGTGTGTTAGTGTTTGGGCTGCTGAATGTGGTTCACTGCAGTTCCAGCTCTGCTTTTCTCATGGATGCTTGTATATTTTGATAAATTTGTGTGCTGAGGTATCTCAAATTAAGCACTCAAATGAAACATCCTAAATCTCACCAGGTTGAAAACGCCAGCCCCAGTCTGCTCACTATCCAAGCCAGGAAGCAGCTATTTGTTTCCTCTAAAATAATCCCAGCTCAGCAAGACACTTAGGCACATATCTAGCTTTATAAAGACAGAGTGGGTTTCCCAGTCACTTAAATAATGCAGATGCAAATGCTCTGCTGAATCAGGTTTATAAAAACCCAATAGCAGTCAGTAATAAATACTGTGACATGCAAGAGATGCTCTGCAGCCAGGAGGTTGGAGCGCTCTACTGGGATCTGTAATGCAGTGCCCTCAGTAGAGCCATGGGATTATCCCCACTTCCCTTCATCCTGCTCTATTCACCAGGCTGAGAGCCACACACAGTCCTCCTCCTCGCTCTGTTTGGGAATGTGTCTTTATACAGAAGACATCCATTATACAAGACTTACCCTGGGTTTCCCTGCCCTGCTCTCCTAACTGTGCATTTGACATGAAAATACTGGCACAGTGCCTCAGATGGCTGTCTGAGACAGGAGGGACAAAAGCAGGGATAGTTTATTTGCTAGAGCAGGAGGCTTTCCTTCTGCAACAACTCTGTATTACATTGGGTTCATTTCTACCAGGATAAAAGAGCAAACTCACACTTCATTGGAGTTGTGAACCTGTCCCCACTAACATTATACATGGAGCATGTCAAAGAAACATGAAACTGGGCCCTGCTAAACCTGGCCATCTCTGATAGACTCTGCTCCAGGAAAGGGGCAGAGAGACAATAAGGATGCCTAAGTGCAAACCTGTGTATCTAACACCTTCTGATAGCAGCCCTCTTCCCACAGTGGAACCTAAACTCTGCAGGGACTTTGTCTTAAAGGTAAAAAAGAAAAGAACAGTAATAAGGATAATAATGTGCCAAGAGGTAATAATAGCAGTAATGGTGATAACAATAATAATGTTCCTAGAGTTACCTGGTGGTAGTCACAGTAGTAGTCGTAGTAATAGTAATAATAATTATAATGTTCCCAGAGGTCCCTGGGGTGATGTCCCTGCACAATGCATCTTGGCAGGAGTGAGTATTTGACATCCATCTCATGGCTGCACACAACAGGCACCTAAACATCAGGCATTCCTTCCTGCTTGTGTTTCCTTGGTGTCTCCACATTGTATGTGTTGTGCCCAACACATGTGGACAAGACAGGCTTTTGCAGAGAAGTCAGCCACAAGCACTGGGTTTTATTCCTTCCCATCACTGAGTGTGCTGATCAGGATCTCACCTGCAGGACCAATAATCTGTGCCCTGAAAGAGGATATCCAGTACTGCTTTGGTTTTATTTGGAGGGGAGCAGAAGCTTGGGAGGTACTTCTGGGTGAAGTATGCTCAAGACGAAAGATCTGGAGCACAAGAAAGGTAGCCTCCACGTAGCTTTGAATAAGGCCTTCGAAAAGGCATGACTTCATGCACATAGAGGTCCTGTGGAGGATCTGGCCCCGACTGATGTAGAATATATAAGTGACGCTTAGTGACTGAAGGAAAAGAAAACAAGCAAAACAATCCCCTAATATTAGCCATTTTAATAGCTTTAGGAGATGGACCATCAGCATCAAGAAAGATAGAGACATGGAGAGTTGTTCTAGAGCTGACTGCAGTTTTCTTAGAGTAAATCTGGATTATTGCAGCCAGTTTTGGTGCATACTCATCCTAAAGAAACACATAAATTTCTCCATGCACAGATAATGCAGCTTTTCCTACACTTTGGGTAAGCCCTTCAGAGATACCCACTGTGTGATCCTGAAGGTTTGACTTCATGAAGAAGTTGCAGTGGGAGGTGGTTATCTTTCAGCCTGGTTGGAATCTGTCACTGCTGTCATTTTAAAAGGCCATTGTGAGGAGGCATCTCATCCAGGCTGAAAGAAACAGCATCTTCATCTTGAAACTCCTTCTGTGCGGCAGGATTATTTCCATGGAGTCACAGGTCAGAAGCACCCTCTCCACCGCTGCTCTCCAGCAGTTAAGATGCTCTCCAAAACTTGCATTTCTATTTCTCTATGCCTTTGCTAGATTTAGAAAGGAAAATTAAAGCACTATTAGGGGCTAAAGGGTCAGGCACATACCCAGCCAACTAGCTGGCAATGACTCCACATGGAACAAAGAGATTCCAAACCGAACTTTTTTAATGAGAAGGATGGCCAAAAGCCAAGCAGACATTGCAGAGGATACCTCATTAAAGAAATTGATAACCCTAAGTCAGGTCAATCTGTTTAAGTAACTCAATGGCTTCAGTCAGATAGGAATAGATCTGTTTAATTTGCCTTCAGAAAAGCAGCAGCACAGTGAGAGCGGAGGAGGAGATCTCATAGAGAGCCATAAGCTTTCCATAAAAGTTGGTAATCAGGGGAAGTTGCATCTGTGGTTTACTCACTTGGAGGAGAGACATCTCGCACACAGTGAGCTGAAACACAGTTGTAGGCAGTGAGAGCAACCACACACAAGGAGTGGATCTGCACTTGGCAGCATGTGCTAATGTCGTGGGATCTTCCCTGCACAGCCACAGCCTGCATGGGGAACATGGGGCTGACCAAAAGAGCCAATCTGGCAAATGGCAAAACACTAAATATAAGGCGTGAGCTAGAACCTGATTTCTTTTTACAGCTTTGCAGCACTTTGGCAAGCTTCAGCAGGAAGAAGCAAGATGATTTGGCCCTGCTCATGGCAGGGTGATTTGAGCTACATCATCTTGAGGTCCTTTCCAACCCAAACCATTCTGCGATTTTCTGCTGGAACAAAAAGCTCAGAATATGGCTCTTGTTTGGAAAGTCAAGCCCAGGGGCCCCAGATGGGAAAAAGTTCTTGTAGTTTGAAAAGACCGTGCTGTGAACTAAACAGCACTGCTTGGCCTCCACCAGGATTTCCGCTCTGCCTTTACTCACCCGTGCTGACAGCAGGGTTATCACTTCAGGATTTCCATGATGCTGAGTACAGCAGAGCAACCAGTGCGCTGTGCATCTAGGCTGCAAACTGCCAGCAGCCCGAACAGCATCTTGCTAATGACTGCTCCTTATAGGGCACCGTATCAGCAGTAATTAACAAACTGCTGCTAAGCCCAGACCTCTCATTTGCAGGTATCCGGCTCACCTCATGGATATGACTATGGGGCTTATTTCATCACTGAGCAGACAAACGACATCTTTAAGTAATTGCATGGTTTTGTAATAGGTAAATAAGGACTTTGCTGCAAAAAAATTAAAAATAAGCCTAGCGCTGGGTTTGTTACCAGCAGATCTCAGCAGTAACCCAATAGGAGGTTTTGTTATGCCTGGACTTAATTTACCTTTTAGAGATAATGTATAATAAATTATCATAATGATTAAGAGCCAAACAGTGTAAATTGAGTCCCTGTCACCCAGGCTTCAAGTGAACCTTAAGCTTTATTATGTACAAGTCTACACAGTAATGAATAAGTACATCTCTCACAGGCTTTTGCTCCTTGCAGGCATACTTTGAGAGGTTTGGTGCATGTCAGCAGCCCCAACCATTAAATACCTTTTAGCTGGACCTCAGAAATCATAAGGTTTTGAATTCTTTGAATAGACCTTCTGGTCTCAGCACTGGAATCACACCTGAAAAGCTTCTCCTGCTAATAGGAAAGTTAGAAAACAGTACATGGAGAGACTCCCACATTTCTACCCAACCTGAAAAGGAGGCGTTTCAGTGAAATACCATTAAGATAACCATGACAACATCATTAATCTTATCAACACAGCAATAATCCACAAGACTAAAATTGGCAGCTACAACATCAAGTGAAACCCATTTGTCCGGAACAGAGTAAATTATTTTTTAACCCTGGGAAAAGGCATGACATCCCAATTGAAGGCTCTCCTGATTTTCCTTAAAAGGGGCCCTGTTAGGTACATGCTTAACCAGGGATATGAGGATCACAGTGGTTGTGGCCACCTCTGACTGCACCAAAATCACCTGCCTCATGGGCATAGGACCACAAAATGGTCTGGGTTGGAAGGGACCTTACAGCTCATTCAGTTCCAACCCCCTGGCATGGGCAAGGACACCTTCCATTAGATCACGTTGCTCAAAGCCTCAATCCAACCTGGCCTTAAACACATAACAAGGACCTCCAATACCCTACCACACACACAGATGTCCCCTTTGGGACGAAAGGAGACCAATCCAGGAGCTACACAGGTTGGAGGGATGAGGATATTTTAGGCAGAATTTTGGTTACATGATTACGATGGGCCATTAAGCTGTTCTCCTCTGTCTGGATTTGTTGTTGACTCAACAAAGGAAAGTGCAGAGGGCTGAATACCTGCCAAGCCTGTGCAGAGCCATTGTGCCAAACAGGAAAGAAAAAAAGGCAGTATAAAATCAGAAGGAAGCTACAGACACTTGTTTTCCCTTACACCTGCAAAACCAAAGCTAACTTCCCTTTTCTCTCAATGGAAAACCTGAAAATGCAAAACCCTGGGAGAGAACTACCCCCTTTGCTGTGCACACATAGTGGATGTTTAACAATCCCACCCCAAACTTCACTACCTGAAGTCCAGAACTTGCACTTGTTCTTATATGGAAAATGAATGATAAAGCAATGAGAAGGGTGAAAATCAAACCTGATGAATGCCCACGTTCCCAAGACAGCCAGCTCCGAGCAGGTGGACACAGCAGGAATCACTTGCGTCTCAAGAGCAGCGAGAGATGCATGATCTGGATCTGCAGAGAGCTTGGGTCAGTCAAATGACTTTTTCAGGGCATTTTGCCAGAATGAAGCAGAATGAAGCAGAGATAATCCGCTGAAAGAATGCCCCACACAGCAGGGGAACAGACAGATGCTTCCTGTGCATGAGATTTCAGGGCAGCATAAGATCTGTATCAGGACACACATTCAGCTTGGTCAGCAGCAGCAGGTCAGAGGCAGAAAATAAAGGTAAAAATAATGCAGAATATCACAATGCAAACACAGAACTACAGCTCAAGCGCTTTGTGTTGGGAAGTTGTCACTCCCTGAGGCCTGGCATTGAGAAACAGCAGCAGCCAGAGCACTTGGAGAACCATCCCAATGCAAAGCTGCATGCAGGCAGAGAGTAACCTCTGGGACTCTGCAAACCCAGGTATTCCTGAAAGGCTCAGTTTAAAGCTTTGAAATAAGGAAAGCATCACTGGGAAGCAGACTTGCCATTCACAGCAAGTTGAAATGCAACTTTTGTTTTAATAGCTACCAAAAAAACCCCGAGCCTGCTAACATGCTATACAGCAGAGGTCTGTTTTGTTTGTCTTTCTGGAAGCATCTGTGTTTTGAAAGCGTAAGGATCATCCATCCCAGTCATTTCAGACCTCAAAAGTAGTGCTCGAAACTTAGGTTTGGTTTGTTGGGGTTTTTTTTAAGTAGTTCCTTAAATGTCTCAAATTAGGTGATTAATAGTGTCACTAGCAGACTTCTGGCTTCCTGTGGTCAGACTTTCCAGTTACATCATGTGCTCTTTAGCAACATCATTCCTTGTCTTCAAGTGGTTCAGTGTCTCAGAGGATTTTAGATCACATCATATCTAAGGCTATAGCTGTCCATTGAGTCACGCATACTCAAAACACGGTGAGTTGAACACAGACACACAGAGAGGAGCGCTGTGTGGCAGAGGTGTGATGCAGAATCTCAATCCAAAATCATCTGAACAAGGAGCATGTTTTTACATCCCACAGCTGCATTTGCAAGGCAGTGGTCATAGAATCATAGAACAGTCCTTTTACTTCTCTACAGAATGAGCAATAGAATAACAGAATCACAGTTTAGGATGGAACAGACCTTTACAGGTCATCTATTACAACCTTCCTGCAATGAGTAGGGACATCTTGAACTACATCATGATACCCAGACCCACATCCTGCTTTATTCTTTCACATGTTTAGTTATTAGCAGAGCACAGAAACGACATTTCTGTACTAAAGAAAATTCATTTTTACATTCTCTCATTTCTTTGTGAGAATTGCCAACAAAAGCACTCTTTTCACAATGACAGTGAACACGTGTGAGGGCAATGGGCTGTCAAACTCAAGACAAACGTGTTATGATACCAACGGTGACTTGCATACACAGCAGAGCTATTCTACTGAAAAAGAGCTCATGAATCCGCTGCTATAAAACATCAGATAAAATGATCTGAACAGTCTGAGCAAAGAGAAATTGCCACAGAAATTACAACTGATGAGGAGAATTTCCATCCCCAGGCTATCACCAGCAACTGGGGTTTCAAAAGACCACCAGAAAGTTGTAAAAGGCTCTTTAAGATACGAAAAGACATTCTCCTCCTCAGCCTTTTGGAGACAGCGATACAACCGAAAGCATACAGAAGGTTCAATACCTGCATATCAGGAACCCTGCTTTTCTGGGTTACTCAAAACTGTAGCAGAGAGGCAAGTTTTAAGGTCAAATAGACTTTGACAAAGCAGCAACACCTCCCTGGAACTTAAATCATAGAATCATACAACAGTTTGGGTTGGAATAGAACTTCAAAGCTCATCCAGTCCAACCCCCTGCAATAAGCAGGGACATCTTCAACCATTTCAGGTTAATTGTGTTTGCCCTTTGGCATCGAGCTCACAGCATCCTTTCATGCAGGGGACAAGGCCAAGTATTAAATACTTGAGGCAGTTGTTTTCTCATGTGGAAAACAAGCACTTCGGGGTTCAGTCACTGCATTTGCAAGTGCCTGGGTCGGTCTGGACCTCTCATCCATGCAGGGGAAGACACCAGCTGGGTTAGTTTTCAGCTAAGCCATGCATCTTAGCATGAGTGACTATCTGGGGTTTGATTCAGGAACCTGAGTCATGGGGTTTCAGGGCAGTTCTGAGTCAATCAGGCCAGTAATACATTTCTACCTTCCTATGGAAAGAAGAGCAGATCCTGTTAATTCTGAACCATAAAGAAGCTTCTCCCTCTCTTTCACACTCATCTACAAGTGACTACACCTATCTGCTGGATGTTTTTTTTTCAGTAGATTATCACCAAAATATGTTTTTTTTTTTCCTCTTTTTTGTTTCATGGGTTAAGAGGAGCTTGCAGGCACAGCTCTATTGACTTTCAATGAGGTGCACAGGGCCCAGTGCTGCTTGGGCTCTGAAAGCCTCTCATCAGCTTACCTGATGGACACAGCCACAGGGGCTTCAGTTCTCCACAGAAGAAAAACACAAAACCAGTGTTAGTTCCCTTGGTTTAGATGCCCCAGCTTCTACCCTCTGGCATTTGCAGCCCTAGCAAAGAGGTTAATGGGATCTCATTCCTATTCACTCTGGGACAAGACCCATGTGATCTTATGCTATAACTCAATGCCTGAGCAAGCCACCAAGGCTTCTTTAACTGTAAACAGAGATGAAGTCCCACCTCCACAGCCTGTTTTTTCGATGTTTCCTCTAAAATGAGACAAATTACATGCCAGAGTAACTATTTGTCTTTGTGACCTATAAAAGGAGGACAGATACCCAGCTCTGACAGCAGCGCGTGCATTGCTGATGCTTGCGCTCCGATACATCCCACACTGCTCTCCTGCACCCTAAGCAAATTCCCAGCACAGAAAAATGCTCCCTGCTCCAGAATTGCTTACCCCCTCCCCATACTCTCATTTCATAAGGTGAACAGTTAGTTACCAATCCAAAGAAACCAAAGTATTCTTCAAAGCAAACGAAGCCACAATTCCCTTGGCAATGCTGGAGAACACCCTTCTGCAAGGTGATTTTTAAACCATGGGGTCTCAGCAATGTATTATTCCCAGGATCAATTCTGCCAATAGCTCTGTCAGCCAGCACCACTGACGATGCACAAGATTGGCCCATGAGAGCCACCCATGAGACCTGCAGAGAGATACAGAAACCAAGCCCTACCCTCAGCACTGAAAGGCAGGACTTGTTGCCAAACATAAGAATGATTTTCCTTCATACCTTAGTCATGCCACATGTTTTTGCTCCCACTGTACTTCCTAAGAAAATGAGTCCCAGCTCTTTTCCTTGTGGTTTGTTTTCCCAGCTCCTCTGAGCACTGACTCCATTTGATGGTTTTCCCTCACCCATTTTGTCCTCACTGCCAACCCAGGACACCCAGAAGTACAGTGTTCTCTGTGCTTCCTCATCTGAAAAGCCACAGAAATAAATAATAAAGACATGCCTGAGAACAAAAGGCACTGAGCTGCCATGATTGGGAAGCACTGAGAACTCAAAACCCCCTTCCCCAGCACAGACACAGTTTCCACACCCCTGTACCCCTTCTGAGTGCTGCAACCAAGAGGACACAATGTTGCTCCAGGTTTCATCCTACTAGAGAAGTGAAGATGACTGTTGTGGTAGCAGCTCCCTTCACTCTCCACGTCAAGTGATGTATGAGAGTAATATCCCTCTGGTAGGTACCAAAGTAATTGCAGTCGTGTGTCACCTCAGGTTACAGAGATGCCTGGGCAGCAGTAATTCCTCTGTGCACAAGGTTTTCTGCTTGAAAAGGATAACACCTCTGCAGCTACTTTGAGCCTGACTGCCCTCCAAACTATGACCCCATGGGGCACTAACTGTGCACGTGGACTGATTCATTCCCATACCCACACATCCTTCACTGTTCAAGAGTCATCACGGCTCGACATCCAAGGACGTTCCACCTCTTTACCAAGCAGGACTACCAAATCCTGTTGAGGGACACCTACTCTCAACACACTGCCAATCAGATGGTTGCAACACATCGTAACCAACATGTCTACTACCTATCATAGAATGCTTTGTTGGAAGGCACCTTAAAGCTCATCCGGTTCCAACCCCCTGCCATGGGCAGGGACACCTTCTACTAGACCAGGTTGCTCCAAATGCTGTCCAGCCTGGCCTTGAACACTGCCAGGGATAGGGCAGCCACAGCTTCTTTGACACCCTGTACCAGCACCTCACCACTCCCATAGTAGATGAGCCACATTCATTCTTATCATCTAGCAGATGAAGGGTTTAAAGGTTGTGGAAAATAAATGCCATTTAGTTAAGACCCTCATATATAGGGAGTTCAGATACTATAAACTACCTGTCCAGCAAAAGGAAGCATCCTTTCTTTTATAAACAGGTATATTTAGGAGCAGGTAAACATTAAACACTCATTTCCCCATCCAAAACAGTGGAGTACCTAGGAATATTACTTAGGCATATTTTACCACCTCATCAGTCATGTCCGCACAACATGGGATATGATATGGAGAACCCTTAAAGGAAGAAAAAAAAAAAAGAGCCCATAAGTGCTATTTATCCTACTGAAGTCTGTTTATACTACAAACTCAAAGGTTCCCCATATGCCCTCATGACTTTAAACTTCTGGTGTCTGTGACTTCCCCACAGAATAAGCCGTCTGCATGTCAGCTCTTTAGCAGTAGACGCCTAAGGAGTGCCAATACTTCAAGTGCACTGTGCAGGCCCATTCAGCTCTGATCCAAAAGCTTTTAGCCTAACAGCCCATTTATAAAGGATAGAAAAGAAATATTAATTAAACCAGACAAGCTCTGAAAGAGGTGCAAAGTAGCAGCTACAGTCTATAGCAAACCCACACCAAAGTGGAGTTCACAGCTGTTCTACTGTAGAAAAACAAAACCCTGTCTTTCAATCCAGTGTCCTATCCAAAGTCTATCCCCTTTTGCTCTTGTTAAAAATGAGCAGTCTCTATTTACCTAATCTCTATCAACAGGACCCCTCCCAAAGGCTGGGATCAGAGATAGTATCACGGACTTTTGTTGGAACAAAGATAAAGTAAATGTTATCTTGTTTGCCTGGAACTGCAGGCCAGTGCTCAGCCTGTAACTATACAGTAGCTAGGAATAAGCTCAGATCAATGTTGTCACTGAAACCCATCTTTTCAAAGCAGTGCCTATAGCAGCATTGCAGGTAGAAGGGCCAGCTGTTAACAGATGTTGGGAAGTACTTGTCCTTGCATCAGCAGAATGTGTTAGACATATTCTGGGTATTTCGTAAATAATAGACAAGTCAGCCAGGAATGGTTTCCTTCATCATGGATGGGTTGATAGATAGTTTATGTGTATCTATCTTTATACAGATACATCTCCAGGTGTGCATATATATATAGACACACACAGATATATATATTATATATGCATATATTTCCAGGTGTGTATACACACACACACATCTGCTCCAAGAGGTACCTTGTGTAGGGAAAATCTGGACTCAGCTAGCCCAAATGCTCCATCTAAACCTGCTTCTGTTTTTCCTTCCCATACACTAAAAGGTAAGAGAGGTGATCCCATTTTTTCTTGTTGTAATTTGGGACCTCACAGTGTAGACCTTGCTAGTTTTTATTATTCCCATATGTGGCACAATTC